TGACTGATGTGGTTTGACTATGTCCCCACCCAAATCTCATGTTGAACTGTAGTCTTCAGTGCTGGAGGGGCCTGGTGGGAGGTGATTGGATCAGGGGGCAGACTTCCCCCTTGCTGTTCTTGTGATAGTGAGTTCTTACGAGATCTGGTTGTTCAAAGGTATGTAGCACTTCCCCCTTTGCTCTGTCTCCTCCTCTGACATGTGAAAATGTGCCTGTTTCCTCTTCACTTTAGGCCACGATTAAGTTTCCTGAGGCCTCACCAGCCATGTTTCCTGTGCAGCCCGTGGAACTGAGAGTCAATTAAACCTCTTTTCTTCATAACTTACCCAGTCTCAGGTAGTTCCTTATTGCAATGAGAGAATGAACTAATACAATGACAAAAACATAAAGCCCTATTTTCTAGTTCCTATATCATATACTGCTCAAATCGGAGTATGAATGTGTTATAACACATACTTGAAAGAAGTGTTTTGATTCTGGAAAAATTTTATCAATCTCCACCTCTTTTCTGAGTATGGAGAAGTCAAAAAGGCAAAGAGTAGAACTCCACAGAGAAGTCAAGGGAAGAAGATCAGCAAACTTCTAATTAACCAAGCACAATTGCTTTGCCAGGAACATCAGCAAAGGGGACCAAATGAAAATACCTGTCAAAGGTGACAAAGTGCTCTGCCCAAAGAGGAAGGCAGAGTTCAGTGACAACAACCTAAAACCTCAGAAGATACCAATCCCTCCATTACCCTCTAAACTGCTACCCGTTAACCTGATTCGCCAGGACATTTTGTGTCCCTGGTGCCAACAATTAAAGCTGAGCACCAAAGGCCAGAAATTAGATGCACATAAGCACCCGTGTGCCTTCGCCTACCCAAAACAAAAGGACATTCCTAGCACAGCGAAAGAGGCCAGAATTCGGAAATCATTACAAAAAAAAAAAAAAAAAAAATCGAAGGTGGACAAGGGGTAAACATCCCTGAAAAGTTCTGAGGAGACACATCCTCCTGAGGTGGCTCTTCCTCCTGGGGGGGGTGCTGCCTGCCGTGGAAGAGTCTGCTGCTCTCCTTGAAGAATTTAATACGGCTGTAAGACAACTTCTACCCCAGGTGCTTTGCTGGCCTCCAGGGCCAGAACTGCAGCCAGGGTGGGACACCAGAGGCAGAGGAATCTCCACAAGAGAAGACCATGGGAGAAGTCTCCCTGTAGATACAGATGGTTGGGTTCACCTCCAGTTTCATGCTAGACAAGCCTGGGCTCCAGAAGAGTAAGAACGGAGAGTGAGTGCACTCTTCTTGCTTACTGCCTCCCAATTTTCCACCTGCACCTTAAAGACAGTAAGTTGTGCTCCAAATGTGTTCACAGGTATAAGGTCTTAATAAAAAGCATCCAGTGGGAATAAAATACCAGAAAAAAGGCACATATATGGTAATTAATAGTAGAAAGACTCAACAGTCAATTCCATGGTCATGTTGCTGATAAGTGAACTCCGGTTCTCTCCACACCTGCTTACAGTCCATGCAGACTGGTGGACTACAGGTGTTAGATGATGACACGCAGTAGTGTCTGCTGCTTCACTGGCTGAGATATAGATTCTAATTTTTAAAAATGAGAAAACATTTCACAAATTACCATTAATTCTAGTTAATACATAGAAAAAGTCATTTATACTAGACTTCTAAAATAGAAATGACTTCAACAGCTCTTTTAAGTGAAAACTTCTTCAGCTGAGCACTAAGAAACAGTAGTTTGCTCCTGTGCTCAATTTCCCTCCCTAGCATACCAACAACTCTAGGAGCGCCTCCATTCCAATTGTAAATTTCATAAAATGCAAAGTATTTTAAGGCAGAGAAAGGCTGTTAATTCTCTCCCTCCCCAAAACACATGATTTTTAATATTCAAAACAATATTTGTTTTATTAATAACCTGAGACTTCTATGATTTGATTCTAGGACAGAAACACAAGGCACTTTGTATTACTTCCACCTAAAATTGTTTTGTGTATCTCTGCTGTTTAAAATGTTTAAGGTTGTTCTCCACTCATAAATACATATTAAATGTATATACATTCAAAACCTGTTGGTGGTACAGGTTGAATCATTTGCTTTTAAAATCACTTTATTTAGGTATGATTGACATACAAAAAGCGGCACATATTTAATGTATCCAACTGAGTTTAACTTTTAATTTTCTGTGTATTTCCTAAATTGATAGTCCCGTGTGTCTTGGAACAGATCTGTTTTTTACTTGTCCTGTGTTTTAATGGCAGTCTCCAATATTGTCTTATTATTACAAGTAGGGGATTTGCTTTGCCCCTTTAATGAAGATATAAAAATAATGCACTCGAAAGAGTGGTAGAACTGGAAAATTTGTAACCATCATGATTACTTAATAGGTTTGGGAAAGAATCCCAAAAATGTTAAAGCAAGAGAAGAAAGTTTGTTGACTTTGTGTCAACAAAAGTCATGGTTTGGGTCTGTGTCCCTGCCCAAATTACATGTGGAACTGTAACCCCCCAATGTTAGAAGTGGGGCCTAGTGGGAGGTGACTGGATCATGGGGACAGATTTCCTCATTGGTGCTGTTCTCGTGATAGTGAGTTTTCCTGAGATCTGGTTGTTTAGAAGTGTGTAGCACCTCCCCCTTCACTCTCTCTCTCCTGCTCCACCATGTGAAGACAGGCCTGCTTCCCCTTTGCCTTCCACCATAATTGAAAGTTTCCTGGGGCCTCCTCAGAAGCCACTATGCTTCTACAGAACTATAAGCCAATTAAACCTCTTTCCTTTATAAATTACCCAGCCTCAGATATTTCTTTATCACAATGTGAACAGACTAATACAAGAAGCAAGACATTTTCATGATCTCATAGTGTTGTTCCTTCCTGCCCTTTACTGGTTGTTGGTGGTCATAATTTTTCAGCACTATAATAAACACATTTGTTCCTTAAAAAAGAAAGAAAGAAAGAAAGAAAGAAAGAAAGAAAGAAAGAAAGAAAGAAAGAAAGAAAGAAAGTGTTGTAATGCAACACAATCTCCCAGACGAATTCTATGGAATAGATTCCCATTACTAGATTATCTTCAGAAACCTACTTCTAGAAACTTAATCAACTTTCAGCAGCCCAATCAATGAAGTAGCAAATTGACCAGACAACTGCAATTCTAAATCTCTTGTATGTCCCCAGGCCAAACTTAAAATCTTCAAATCCTTACCATGGAATCTATCCATTTAATCCCTTAATCTCTCTGAATTTCTCTTTAAGAGAAATTTTGATGTCGAGGGCATTAAGTAATGGCAATAATGCCCATGACATTAAAACTAAGCCACAGGAATAAGTTCAAATTTAGCATCACAGTGACTAAATATTACCATAATCACAATTCTTTAATGAGTTTCTAACAAAATAAACAATCTATTTATCAACCAGAAAACCACTTTCATTTCAACTTGCTAAACAGAATTTTGTTTTGCCCTAGGAGAAACAAAGTGCTAGCTAAGTAGCCTACCATAAAAGGAACACTGACCCTGCCTAAATTATGATTTTTTAAAAATCAAACATGATTATTCACTGTACTTTTGCATCACCTTCTGTATTTTTGCATTGTGTGTAATTTAAAAATATATTCTCAAAGGTCTACTCAAATTTTAAATTAATTGCAATTTAGCAAACAGCATAAGCAGAAAACTTTGATACAGTCAGCGTTACCATGTACTACTTTGACCAAAAGTACAAATGGCCAACCAAGGAGAAATTTTCTGGGTAGGCGTAATAACATTTTTATCAAGTCAAACTCTTTCCTTGTTACGGGAAACATTTCTAAAGTATTCTTAGTAAGTTTTCTCAACAAAATCACAATCTCAGTGTGTACCATTCACAGAAGTGTACCTGAATAAGCTGATGACAGCCTTAATGAATGGTGATCCTACTGGTAGGAAAGGTCTTCAGAGTGAGAAATGGGACCAGTGCTCCCCTATAACTCTAACTCTTCCAATCCTTCTGAGATTGACATCCACACCAAAAATTAAGAGGCAACCCTCACACATAAATGCTTTCTACTTCCCTTCCAATATTCAGAGTACTCCTCCTAATTTACCAGCTAAATTTATGAGAAGGCAACCAGCAAATATTATTAAACTTTTCCCCCAAATTACCAATATCAATGAGTGGTGGGACTGCAGGTAATTTTTATTTTCTTCTTTTCTTTCTTCTCCCCTAATTTTCAACATGGGTAAACATGGTTTTTTTTTTTTAAAGGGTTCTCTTAATTTTACTTCAAATCTAACCAAAAGAGGCAAATTCTTTAATCTGGAACTTGTTGTGTAATACTAGCCACACAGTGAAGCCAAAAGCAAGTTTCATGAAACTCAGTGAATGTTAATATGAAAATGTAATATGATGAAGGTTAGACAAACAATGTGTGGTACCCTTTTACACTTTCTTAAAGAAGTTATGGGCCGGGCGCGGTGGCTCAAGCCTGTAATCCCAGCACTTTGTGAGGCCGAGACAGGCGGATCACGAGGTCAGGAGATCAAGACCATCCTGGCTAACACGGTGAAACCCCATCTCTACTAAAAAATACAAAAAAAAAAAAAATTAGCCGGGCGAGGTGGCAGGCACCTGTAGTCCCAGCTAATGTAGTCCCAGCTGCTCGGGAGGCTGAGGCAGGAGAATGGCATAAACCCGGGAGGCGGAGCTTGCAGTGAGCTGAGATCCGGCCACTGCACTCCAGCCTGGGCGACGTAACGAGACTCTGTCTCAAAAAAAAAAAAAAAAAAAGAAGTTATGTATATATTACATGTAACCAAGGTAAAATGATCCTTGAAATAAATGCTAATATTCTTACACATTTTCACATGAATTTTTCTTCTAAAAGAAAACAGCAAAAGTATAATAAAAAACAATAAAGAAACTAACTTGGTATACAAATTATTTCTTCAACAAATATTTAAGAAACACATTTAATATAAAAGACAACATAAAAATATCAAAAAGAAGAACAAATAAATAGCTTTACCTCTTTATGTGTCACATCCAACTGACCCCTAAGAGTCTTAAGTTCCTGTTCACGGATTTTCAAGCAAGTTTCTAGAGCATGTGTCCGTCCTTCCCATTCAGATTTTTTATGAGCCACCATTATGTCAATCTGTTTCATGAGCTCCTGTAGTTCTGCTTCACACGATGTCAAAAATCCCCTATAAAGAAGAACAGATCATTAAGAAAACAGAAGATATGTTCAAGTGGCTTTTCATCTTTTTCCTGTAAACATATAGCAGATGTAAATCTACCTGAAGTAAATAAATGACATTAATAATGTCAATTAATAAATTACCAGAAGCAAATAATAGGATTTCTGAGCTTTTGCCTTTTATTTATTTATTTATTTATTTATTTATTTATTTGGAAACAGAGTTTCATTCTTGTTGCCCAGGCTGGAGTGCAGTGGCACGATCACGGTTCACTGCAACCTCCACCTCTCAGGTTCAAGCAATTCTCCTGCCTCAGCCTCCCGAGTAGCTGGAATTACAGGCATGCGCCACCATGCCCAGCTAATTTTTGTTTTTAGTAGAAATGGGGTTTGCCATGTAGGCCAGGCTGGTTTTGAACTCCTGACCTCAGGTGATCCACCTGGCCTCAGCCTCCCAAAGTGCTGGGATTACAGGTGTGAGCCACCGTGCCCAGCCTAAGCTTTTACTTTTAATGCTCATATTAAGATGATTACTTATTTCACAGAATATCTTGTCTTCCCCTCATAGCCAACCTAAAGCCCAAGTTGTTTGGTTAGGCACAAGACTGATGTTTTAAGTCTGGTTTGTGGAGCCAGGCTGCCACAGCTAACAAGCGCCTCTGTAATATATTAGGGAAGCTTTCAGGAAGGATCCAGACAAGCCTATATGTCACATTTTCATCTAGCTAAAGGAAAAAGCCTTGGAAGAAAGTAGACTATCATGCAGGAAAGTGATAATACAATTTTAAGAGCTGCTTCAAGAAATTCATCCTTCAGCCAGATTTATTTCAACCATTTCTGCCCATCTTTTTGTCAGAAACTTATTGTAGTCTACCTTACTATTGTAAACTTACTGATATCCTGGCATTTCAGGAGATGCCAGATGTTGCTGAGAAACAGAACTGGACACGGACATACTAGATTCAAACAGGTTTCCAGAAATGGCCACAGACAGCTATCAGTAAGGCTTAAATACTTTCAAAAACCACCTTTCCTTAGTGTGACAGAACCTTTGTACTTTTGCTTCTTAAGAGTAGAAAATTCAAGATAGGATGTAGGCAAACACCTAGCTTCACACTGCTGTGATGAGGCAAACAACCCAAACAAAGTCCCCCCAAAATACTGTGACCATGACATGGATCAACTTAGCTTTTGCTCAACACTTTTGCTTCTGTACCCAAAGCACAATATGGTCAGAGACATAACTCAGATAAGCTTTTTAAACTGCAGTGAGAAGCTTAAGGTCAAAAGAAAACTTACCACTGGGAGTCCACACACACCACTTAGGGGCCCACCACTACTACCACACACATTGTCCGAGGCACTGGTGATCGGCCTGGCCCCTCCTTCCACCACTAGGTGCCCTGGAAAAAAACCCACCTTGACCACTGCCAGCACCTATGCACATCATCCAGGGACCTTGGAGAGGCCTGCCTCACTCACTACTGCCACCACTGGTGCCTGTGCATGTCATCCAGGGGCCTGGGGACTGATCTGCCCTGCCTGCTACCACCGGTGCCTGTGCATGCCATCTGGGAAGCCTGAGGACAGGCCCATCCCGCCTGCCACTGCCATCACTGACTGGTACGTGATGACCAGTCTGCCTGGTGTCCCTATCCCCAGCAGAGCCTTGCCATAGCCTCCACTAACCACTACAGTCCAAGTCACTGAAGAACTCATAGAAAACAATGATACTGATTATGGCTGGAAAAATCATATAAACTACACTCCTGCACCCACTGAGAATCAAATCCAAAGCACCCTACCTGACCAACATTATAGATACACCTACAGGAAAAAAATTTTCCCTATGAAAGCCAATCCATATAACTGGAAGAAGTGACTATTACACCAGATACACAGAAATCAATATAAGGACACAAGAAAAATGAAAAAGGAAAGAAAAATAACACCTCAAAGGAACACAATAATTCTCTGGTAACAGATCCTAAAGAAAAGGAAATGTATGAAATTCCTAAAAATAATTCAAAACAATGTTATTAAATAAACTCAGTGAGATACAAGAAAACACAGATAATAAAAACAAATCAGGAAAACAATGTATGTTCTGAAAAAGAAATTCAACAAAGAGATGGATATCATTAAAAAGAGCCAAACAGAAATCCTGAAACTGAAGAATTCTACAAATGAAATTTAAAAATACAATTGAGTTTCAACAACAGAGTAGAAGAAGTAGAAGAATTTCTGAACTTGAAGATGGACCTTTTGAAATAACCCCATCAGACAACAACAACAAAAGAATAAAGTATAAAAAAGAATAAAGAAAGCCTACATGGCATATGGGAGACCATAAAGTAACCAAATATTCAAATTCTTGCAAATCCAGAAAGAGAAAAGATGGGCATAGGAACAAAAAACCAATTTAACAAAATAATAGCTGAAAACTTCCCAATTATTGCAAAAGATATAGATATCCAAATAAAGACAGCTCAAATATCCTCAAATAGATTCAACCTAAAAAGGTCTTCTCTAAGGCACATTATAGTCAAACTGTCAAAAGTCAAAGACACAGAATTCTAAAAACAGCAAGAGAAAAATATCAAATGTTCTGTGAGTTCCTCACATATAAGGATATTGCCATCAGACTAACAGCAGATTTCTCAGCAAAAACCTTACAGGCCAGGAGAGAATGGGGTGATATATTCAAAGGGCTAAGAGAAAAAACAAACAAAAAAAACTGGCATCTAAGAACACTATACCCAACAGAGCCATCCTTCAGAAATGAAGGAAAAATAAAGTTTTTCCCAGACAAGCAAAAAACTGAGATAATTCATCATCACTAGACCAGCTCTACAAAAAATGCATATGGGAGTCCTACATCATGAGGCAAGAGGATGATATCTGCTATCGTGAAAACACACAAAAAGTGTAAGACTCACTGGTAAAGCAGAAACACAAATGAGAAAGAGAAAGGCATCAAACATTATCACCAAAAAAAAAAAAAAAAACAGAGAGAGAGAGACCAAATTATACAGGTAAACAATAAAGGAAGAAGAAAGGAATAAAGGATATACAAGAGCACCAGAAAGCAGTTAACAAAATTACAGGAGTTAAGTCCTTACCCATCTATAACAACCCTGAATGTAAATGGTTTAAATTCCCCAATTAAAAGATACAGAATGGTTGAATAGATAAAAAGCAAGACGCAACTATGTGCTACCTAAAATAAACTTACTTCATCCGTAAAGACACGCATAAACTGAAAATGAAGAAATGGGAAAAAATATCCTACACAAATGAAAACCAAAAGCATGCAGGAGTACTTATTCCTATATCAGACAAAATAGACTTTAAGTCAAATAAACATAAAAAAGTGACAAAGAAGGTAATTATATAATGAAAAGGGATCAATTCAGCAACAAGATATTACAGGCTATAAATATACATACATCCAACACCAGAGCACACGGACATACAAAGCAAATATTATTAGAGCTAAAGAGTGAGAGACAGACTCCAATACAATAATAATTGGGGACTTCAATACCCCACTTTGAGCACCGGACAAGTGATTTAGACAGAAAATCAACAAACATCCAGTTTGTTCTACACTATAGACCAAACAGACCTAAAGACGTTTATAGAACATTTCATCTAACAGCTGCAGAATATACATTCTTTAGCACACAGAACATTCTCCACGATAGATCATAGGTTAGGCCACAAAACAAGTTTCAACAAATTTTTTAAAATCAAAATCATATCAAGTATCTTAAACCATAATGGAAAAAAGCTAAAAATCAAGATTAAGAGAAACTTTGGAAATTGTAAAAATACGTGGAAATTAAACAACATGCTCCTGAATGACCACTGGGTCAGTGAAGAAATTAAAAAAGAAACGCAAAAATGTCTTGAAACAAATGAAAGTGAAAATACAACATACTAAAACCTATGGGATACAGCATAGGCAGTGCTAAGAGAGATGTTTATAGCAATAGATGCCTACATCAAAACAGTACAAGGACAAAAAAAAAAAAAAAAAAAAAAAAAAAAGATCAGAATCACACCAAGCATCTTTTCAGACCACAGTGGAATAAAAATATAATACCAAGAGGAATTCTCAAAACCACAAAAATACACGGAAACTAAATAACTTGCTCCTGAATGACTTTTGGGTAAACAAAGGCAGATATCAAAAAATTCTTCACAGTGTTAAGAGGGAAGTTTACAGCTCTAAACACCTACATTAAGATCTCAAGTCAACAACCTAAAACAATGTAATGTCACATCTAAAGGAACTAGAAAAATAAGAAGTAAACCCAAAGCTAGCAGAAAAAAAGTAGTAACTAAAATCAGAGCAGAAATAAACAAAATTGAGACCAAAACAAATGAAATAAACAGTTGATAAGATTGATGAATTGCTAGCTAAATTAACAGAAAAAAAGATCCAAATAAATACAATCAGAAATGACAAAGGTGACATTACAACCAATTCCACAGAAGCACAAAAGATCCTCACAGACTACTATGAACATCTCTATGCACACAGGCTAGAAAATCTAGAGGAAATGGAAAAATTCCTGGAAAACACAACCTCCCAGAATTGAACCAGAAAGAAAGGGAAATCCTCAATAGATTAATGAGTTACAAAATTGAATCAGTAATAAAAAGCCTACCAACCAAAAAAAGCCCCAGACCAGACAGATTCACAGCCAAATTCTACCAGACATGTAAAGAAGAGGTAGTACCAACTCTACTGAAACTATTCCAAAACATTGAGGAGAAGGGATCCCTCTCTAACTCATTCTATGAAACCAACATCACCCCGATACCAAAATCTGGCAAAGATACAACAACAAAAAAAGAAAACTACAGACCAATATCCCTAATAAACATAGATGTAAAAATCCTCAACAAAATACCAACTGAATCCAGCAGCACATCAAAAAGATAATCCATCACAATCAAGTGGGCTTTATTACTGGGATGCAAGGATGGTTCAACATA